TATCATCACTGTAATAGAATGCTGTTACGTACGCCTGCTGCTAGATAAAGAGTTGGATGGTTATTTTTGAACAGAAAGTATTAATCCTGTGACAGCATTTGGTTCTAGTGCCTTTATTTCTATTGTGCCAAATGTTTAATGGTGTGATGTTATTTTATATGGGTAAAAACATGTGATTGTATAACACTAGATATTTTGAATGTTGGCCTTGTTGTTGTTTTTGCCAAGGACAAGTAATAGTAGAACTTTTCTCACTTTTTTCTTATAATGTTTCTCCTTCATACATATGGCCAAAGGCAAAAATGAAGAGCACTGAAAGGACAGGGAAACCTATTTTATATTTTGCATGTAGCTTCTTCAAGTTTGGTAAATATCTTTTCCAGTTGGAATGAGTGGGAGGAAAAACTGAAAGTACGGTAATTTTATTTCCTGTGACAACAGGCTGAAAAACACTATTGGTTTTAAATTCACAGCAGCAGCATGTTGTAACTTTAAGGCTGCTGCTTTCCTTTTTATATTCTGCTGTGGGTCAACAGTCAGCATATTTGGCAGCCAGACTTCAGTATGTGGCATAATACGCTGGGTTTCTCAAGCTTCATTTCATCGCAACCCCCTTCTGGTAATAAAAATTACATGACCCCAGAAGGGGGGACTGAGCTTGCCCAAGCCCTGCTGTCCCAGGTGGGGGGACCAAAGCCAAAGTGGGAGCCTTACCGCCCCAGCAGAGGAGGAGAGGGCCTGTACCCTGAGCCCTGCTGCCCAGGGCTGAAGTTGTTGGGCTTCAGCTTTGGCCCTGGATAGTTTGGCTCGGGCTTTGGCTCCAGACCCCAGCAAGCCTAAGTCAGCCCCAGTGACCCGACTGACCCACAGTTTGAGAACCACTGAATATATTGTCAGAATAAACCTTATAACAAGGTACATTCTAAAAAACCAATGCTTAGTCACCAGCTTAATTTAATAGCTATTAATGTTCTATAAAAAGAAATAAAGTAATGTTAAACTGACATTAAGGGCCCTCACAGGATTAGTTAATATTTTTTACAGCCTACTGAAAGTATAAATCTCTATAAAAGTGCAAAGTTAGGGATACCCAAGTGAAGGCTCTTATTTATTTGTGTTACAATACCAACAAGTTTCTAGCCCTTCTGGCTGTGGAGAAAGCTTCAAAATGTGAACCCCAGTGCACCTTAAAAGCTCATAAAGCAGAACACACACACAAAAAACAAACACCAAAGCTATTATTTTACTTAATCTCATGATTTTAAAGCCAATCTCGTGATTTTGGTGTCTCTGACTCATGTTTTTTGAACATTTGGGGTTGGCAATACTGCTAGAGTAGCTGAGATTTTACACAGAATACTATTTTGTTATGGGGTAAACCTCAACGATTCACCAAAGGAGGAGTGGAGCCCTCCAAACTGAATAAAACTAGGGGATATTTTACCGTTTTGCTCCCTCCCCTGGCTTCACTGCCAGCCCCAAGGCACAGCATTGCAAATAGGGTTACCAGCCCTCCAGGATTGTCCTGGAGTCTCCAGGAATACAAGATTAATCTTTTTGACTCCAGCTCAAGCTCTAACGCTGTGCGATGCCTGGCGGGCAGAGGGGACTGGCGAGCACAGGAGACGCTGGCACCGCGCCTCCCGCACCAGCAATGGCAGAGCTCTGCTGAGGGGGCTCGGCCGGGGGGCGCCGCTCAGCCTCCCGGCTTGTTCCTGGGTGTGAGTACAACCCCCTCCCCCCCGCGTTCCATCCGGGGGCAAACTCCCCGCCCCTATTATCTAGGAGAGAGGGAAACAGCCCTGGCCCATTTCCGGGGAGGGGGGGCAAGATCCTTCCCCCCGCGCTCTTCCCGAACCTCCTTCTTTCATTCCATCCCACTCTGGAGACATGCACATTCCTCGCATATCTGTATCTCACCTCCCCCTCTCCTCTGTGGTCAGCTCTGTCTCCCTCCCTTTCTCCAATGGCGGTGGGCTAAACCACGTGAGGAAAAAAGGGGGGTCTCAAACCTCGACAACTTGATAATCGACTGCCGATTCTTCGATTGGTCAGAACCGCCGGCACCAATCTAGAAATCGGCGCTGGATTGGTAGGGCATGTGACCTGCTGCTTCCCTGGCTTTCGCCTATTTATCTGTGAGGTTGGGGCAGGGTAAGATGGGTGGTGTGTTTATCTCACAGACTCTGCTTGCGACACCGGTTAGACTCCCACCCATGACAATAAGCGGAGCCTTTCTTCAGTTTGCTCTTAAGTGGTGGAAATATCCTCCCTACTTATCTTAGAGCACAGCATGAGCAGAATCCAAGAGCTATTAGGATTATCTACAGAGACCAAAAAGAGGAGTCAGAACAAAAACAGCAAGGCAGAGCCTTAGAAGGAGGAGTCATCGAGATTCAAAAAAACCACACAGAATAGAGTTATATTGAAAAGGAAATTAATAAAAAAAGAGCCAAGCACTCTCGAAAAAGTCACATCCAGAAATAGAAAACATGCAAAAGAGAGCACCAAGAACTCAAAAATTCACTTTCCCTCACTTTTTATTTTTTTCACATCATCTTATTTAGTATTACACACATAAAACTATATTAAAAACAACATTAGGGTTACAAATTCTGAAGTTAGGAAATGCTAGAATTAATATTGCTTTTCACAAAAATAGTCTTTAATTACAGTTACATAGGATCATAAAGTATATGCACAAGGGGACCAAATTAAGGTTGCACAGCATGTCCATGCCCCCAGTCCCATTTTAACACGCCACACCTGCATCAGCTCCTCATTCCAGTTCCAGATCCCTTAGCGTCACATCCCAGTCCTCTCTCTCCCACCCCCACCCTGTCCACTTCACCAACTCCCTTGGATTGGCAATTTATTCCTCCCTATTCCAGACAGGTAGTTAAGCTTCCTCCTCCTCTCTGCCTGGATGCCAACAGGGGGGGCATTAAAAGCAAGGAAAGCCAGGATCCTTGTTCTCAGTTCCTGTGCCTGGCACTTCAGCAATCTCCAACTGTTGGGAGGACCAACTGAGAAAGTCCTGCTCAGCCTCTGCATCCCTCTGGTGGACTCTGCCCACAGCAGATAGAATCTTCAGAGACATGAGCTGCCAAACTCCCCTGAGCGCCTGCAAACTGAGATTTTCAGAAGCTCATAACTTTACCAAATTTGGGCAGATTTTCATGGGGATGGCAAAAAGGCACATCCCAGACACCAGGGCAACCTGCCCCCACCAAATTTCATGTCCTTACTCCAAAGTATGGAGGCACTAGAGTTGCTCATCAAAATGGTCATAAGATTTTTTTTTTAACATGGGCAAAACATTTTTCCATAAAATTTTGTTCTGAGAAACAACAGAATTGTTTTTGCTGAAATTTTCCAAAAAATAGTTCAGCCTGAGACTGGCATCCCGGCATGGAAAATTTCAGCCCAAATGGTTACATTTGGCAAAGTTATAAGCAACTGAAAACAGGGTTTTATAATGGAAAGTGTCCAGGCAACGTTAAAATGATGGATGTTGCTATCTGCGTTGCCTATAATAAACTCACTGACTCACCCTGTGCTCTTGCCTCAGTTTACTCATCTATAAAATGGGGATCACTTTACCTCACAGGGGTGCTAATGATTAATAAACCAAGCTGTGTTTATAAAACACTATGAGATTCTTGGATAAAAGCACCTGTAAATGCACATTATTTGGTAGGAGGAAGTTTCTCAAGTGTGTAAATGAGCTGCTCTAGTTCAAAGACCCTGGTGACCTTTGGCTTTCTGGGAGAAGAATCTGAAGAAATTTGTGTGTACAACTATCCCTAGAGCGGGGGGTGGGGGTGGGGGCGGGGGATGGGAGGGGTAGCCAACCTGAGCCTGCGAAGGAGCCAGAATTTACCAATGTACATTGCCAAAGAGCTACAGTAATACGTCAGCAGCCCCCTATCAGCACCCCCGCTGCTAGTGCCTTCCCTCCCCGCACCTCCTGATCAGCTGTTTCATGGCATGCAGGAGGCGGGGGAGTGAGGGCAGGGCAGGCTCAGGGGAGGGAGTGGGAAGAGGTGGAGTGGGAGCAGGGCCTGTGGCAGAGCCAGGGGTTGAGCAGTGAGCATCCCCTGGCCCATTGGAAAGTTGGCGGCTGTAGCTCCAGCCCCGGAGGCGGTGCCTATACAAGGAGCCAGAGGTTGGTGACCCCTGCCCTAGAGGTTCAATGCAAACAGACAAAAGTGAAATATGTATACATTGTTGGTACTTGCTTTTTGGCAAAAGTTATTAAATGGGGTGCCATACTGATGGGAGGTCATCTAGTCCAACCCCCTGCTCAAAGCAGGACCAGTCCCAACTAAATCATCCCAGCCAGGGCTTAGTCAGGGTACTTGCACATTATCCATTTTAGGGCTTTATAGGACCACAGTATTAGAAAAGGATAAGCAGCTTCAACATTACTTTAAAAGCAAAGCAATCAGACCACACCATGTAGAAACTGACCAAGATAAATTATTTTGTATTTTGTACACTACATACACCTAGGGCCTGATTTTCAGAGAGGCTATACACCGCAACCTCAAGGGAAACTGCCTATTCTTTTTGCGGATACAGACTAACAAGGCTGCTACTCTGAAACTTGCACAAGGTTAGTACATCTGAAAATCAGACCCATAAAATAAATTTTTAGCTAAAGGGGTAAAAAAAGGGTGAGACTCACCAGAATATATTTTTAAAGGACCAATTTTTAATTAAATGTAAATCAATCTAACAGATTTATTTGAAAATTCTCAGAAAATTCAAAATGTACTCAGCTTATGTGCGGTAAATTTGGGGAAAGAGGCACTATATTTTTCATAGAAAACAAAGACGTTGAATCCTAGAGTTAAGTGAAAAACTCAATGCAATTTAGCTATGAAGGCACTGATTGTGAGACTATAATCGCTGTTGAAACTGAAAGGGAAACTTGCCCGCCCGCTCCACGTTCAGCCGCTGGGTGGTTCAGCAGGTCCCGGATCTGGGAGCAAGCGAACGGGCGCGCGCACGCTAGACGGCAGCGCCCGCTCACTGGGGAGGACACCCTCCCATCCCCCGCCCCCAAGAAAGTAGCACGATGGCGGCCGCGGGGGGTCCCTCCGCGCCACCGCACTCTCGAGCCGTGAGTGAGCTCTGCCAGAACGCCCGAGACACCTTTCTGGAGGCCTCACGGCTACTGCTCACCTACGCGGACAATATCCTCAGGTGAGCAGGGCGGACGGGCCCGCGAAGCTGCGGCGGAGGCCCCGAGCGGGGTCAGTCAGGGCACCGTCCCCGTGGGGGGTATAAATCTTCGGACTCACGGTCTGCGGGCTGGCGGCGGGTGCCGCGGGAGGGCACGACCTGAGCTCGGGCCGGGCACCCAGCGGGAAGAGCTGCTGACTCAGCAGGGGAGGCGGCGGCGGCTTAGCCCAGCCTGCGCTGAGTCACTGACCGCCAGAACTCGTGCCCCCCGTTGGGTCAGTTGCACCCGCTGTTCCCTTAGCGAGCAGAGCTCCCGCTGGGGGGCAGAGTTTCCCCCTCCCACCCCACGCCGTGGCGGCCCAAGCAGCGTGTCGCTGCTATGTCCGCACGGGGCTGCCCTCTGGCTGCCACGTCCTGCTGGGCCTGGGCCTAGGCCTGGGCCTTGTGACCTGCCTCCTCGCCACTGCCCTGGCACCCGCTTGGACGGGCCCACCTGGCAGCCCTTTACTCCCATCTCCTGGGGCTGGACAGGGTGAGGGCAGGAGATTGACGTTGAATGAGTCAGTGGCTTTTCCCACCCTGAGGGTGCAGGTCTTGTGCATTTCACACCTGTCCCTCAGGTGCACGTGCAGTCTGTGAGCAGTTTGGGTGTTTAAATGGTGCCTATCACTGTGGTATTCTAGCATCATGATATTCATGTATTGCACAGTATTTTGCTTTGTGGGACATGGTGGGGAGCGTACAGTAAATGGCCATTCATCCCAAGTTAGTCAGTCATTGAGCAGGACCCTATTATGCTAGGTGCTGTACGTATACACACACACACTATAAATGTAAGACAGATGGACACAGATTGGGGTGGACAAGGAAACAATGAGAGAGTATTAGTATTATGAACAGTGATGTCAGCACAGCAGTGACCTAACCTTTGTCAAGTTTTTTGTAGGATGGAGATTTAGAAATGACCTTTCATGGGCTGCCTACACTCTGTATATAAAAGCAAGTCTAAGTTTCTTAGCTTCTAAAAAATGTTAACACCCTGAAAAATCCAGTGAGAGGTGTCACTACCCACACTGTAAGTTTCCAAGTTTTTTAGCTGATGACATATTTGTTTTAATTTTTTTATTCCTATCAGACACCCAAATGAAGAAAAATATAGGTCTATTCGGATTGGAAATCCAGCATTTTCGACTCGGTTGTTACCTGTCAGAGGAGCAGTTGAATGTTTGTTTGAAATGGGATTTGAAGAGGTGAGTATTCTAGATGTTTGTTTTATCCTGTTGTAACTTCAGCAGTGTTCCATCTACAGTATAATAGGTGATTTGTCCTTCTGGTTCATGCTTAACTTTACAATTGCAAAGCTATAGGGCCTTCTCTAGGGCTGCACCTTAACATGGTGGAAAGGCTTGTGTGTTCCAATGACCTTGAGAGCTATGCTGTAGTACAGGGGCTGGCAAACTTTTTGGCCTGAGGGCTGCATCAGGTTTCGTAAATTGTATGGAGGGCTGGTTAGAGGAGGGGGTTGTGGCTCGACCCCCACCTCCTATCTGCCTCTCCCCCCTCCCCCTCCCCTGGGACTCCTGCCCCATCCAACACCCCCTATTCCCTGATGACCTCCCTGAAACCCCTGCCCCATCCACACACCCCTGTCTGCCCACGGACCCTCACCGCCCCATCCAATCCCTCCTCTCATTCCTGATGGCCCCCCTGGGACCCCTACCCCCATTCAACCCCCTGTTCCCGCCCCGACCCCTATCCACACCCCTGCCCCTGACCACCACCCTGAACTCCCCTGCCCTCTATCCAACCCCCCACTGCTCCATGTCCCCTTACTGCACTGCCTGGAGCACTGGTGGCTGGCAGCGCTACAGCCGCGCTGCCTGGCTGGAGCCGGGCCAGGCCACCGCCGCCACCATGCAGCACAGAGGACCGGCTCAGGCCGGGCTCTGCAGCTGTGCTGCCCCAGGAGCTCACAGTCCTGTCACCCAGAGCATTGTGCCTGTGCTGGAGTGAGTGAGCTGAGGCTGCGGGGGAGGGGGGACAGCAGGGGAGGGGCCAGAGGCCAGGCAGAACAGTCCCGCGGGCTGTAGTTTGCCCACCTCTGCTGTAGTAGTTTAACTCCTGGTAGAGCCACTCCAACTGGACAGAAGTCAGAAGGTAGACATCAGACAAAAAGTCCATTATTGGGATTAACCAGACTCCTTAGCCCTGGTCGGCAGCTGGCCTAAGGAGAAGGTATAGTCTGTGTTCAAACTGAGGTGGTCCGACCTGCTAGCCAATCATGGTCCGTGGACTTTAGTGGAGCAGCCACGCTCTGCTTCAATTTGCAGTGGCGTTAGCAAGCTGTCTTTGGCACTGCTGTACAGCCCGGGCATTGGGCTATGGTCACTTTGGCCTTCATTGGGTTCTGCAAGCAATTTTCTCGATTTTTGTTTCACCTGCACCTTGCAAAGACCTGTGTTGTCAATCCACGCGTTGCAGTCTTCTGCACCAGTGAACAAAATGGCCAACAAGGACTACAAAAGTGATTTTTTCCTCCCTTGGTATTCACCCCTTCTTGTCAACTGTTGAGAATAGCCCACTTCCACCTTAATTAAATTGGCTCATTAGCACTGACCCCCGACTTGATAAGGCAACTCCCATCTTTTCATGTGCTGTGTATTTATACCTGCCTACTCTATTTTCCACTCCATGCATCTGATGAAGTGGGTTTTAGCCCACGAAAGCTTATGCCCAAATAAATTGGTTAGTCTCTAAGATGCCACAAGGACTCCTCATTGTTTTTAAGGATGAGAGTGTGACTAATCATGCACAACCTAGTACCACTTTAAACAATTCTTTGTGCAGGTCCATAGCCCTTATTCCTTGCTATCTCTTCACTCATTCTGTTCCTTGAATGTCCTGTGGTGACAGGAAAGTGTGGTGATGGGAACAGGGGGTCCCTAGTCACAAACATGTAGTTAGGCAGTGCCAGCATGATGGTTGTTTATTGTTGACTTGGAGTGATCTTGGAATCCATATCCTTCTCATGCGACAGATCAGCCCTCTTTAAAGATAGTGCTGCTCTCCCTAATGCAGGGAAGGGGGAGAAATGGATCCCTAAATATCTCTCTCACTCTATTATCAATTTACTAGTATGCTATGACTAGCTGGTCATGCAGTATGTGCTTAAAAAGCAGCATCACACACATAACACTGAACTTTGCAACCTAGAAATGTCTGCACTCTTTCTGATGATGTTGGTGGGCTTGGAAAGTACACTGCACTCCTTGGAAGAGAACTTGCCAAATACAACATTGATATAGCTGCACCAAGTGAGACACATCTCCCAGGCAAGTCCCAACTTGAAGAGGTCTGTGCTGGATACACATTTACTGGATAGGCAAGTCCGCAGAAGAGTGGAGACTATTTGCTATTTGCAAAAAGAAGAACAGGAGGACTTGTGGCACCTTAGAGACTAACAAATTTATTAGAGCATAAGCTTTCGTGGACTACAGCCCACTTCTTCGGATGCATATAGAATGGAACATATATTGAGGAGATATATATACACACAGACAGAGAGCATATATATATCTCCTCAATATATGTTCCATTCTATATGCATCCGAAGAAGTGGGCTGTAGTCCACGAAAGCTTATGCTCTAATAAATTTGTTAGTCTCTAAGGTGCCACAAGTCCTCCTGTTCTTCTTTTTGCGGATACAGACTAAACACGGCTGCTACTCTGAAACTTTTCATTATTTGCTATTTGGATGTCTATTGCACGCACACATCTGATTGTGTTCCAAAAGGAATAAATGATTGTCTGATTGTCTTTCACCTCAGCTTGACATCTGCATGTCATGTAACAGTGCATATGTACCGATGATGATCTGTTCTGACATTGTCAAAGAAAAAGTCTATGAAGACTTTGACAGTGCCAAACTCAGCTCATCGGTGCGACAAATTAATCATCCTAGGCAATTTTAACATCCAAATTGGTTGCAATCACAAAGCTTTGCCTAAAATAAATTGGTTAACGAGGTGTGGGTACAAATGGCACACTATTCCTCACAAAAGTGCATGGAGAATTAGCTAGTCACCACAAATATGCTATTTCAACAAGCAGTGAAATGCAAAACAACATGGATGCATCCCCCATTGTATACCAAGGCAATTGTTGGGATGTCAAAATCACCTTTGCAATGCAGGGAGCTGCATGCAGTCTGATGTCAGCTCATGAGATGTAAAGTGACATTGATCCTCCAGTTGAAACAGCGCGGATGTTGTCAATCTCCAATACCCATGCTCAGTGTGCATGTGTTGAAATCTGAGCTCACGCGTACAAAGCGTGTTTAAAAAACTTCATGAAGTTCTCATCACACTTTGAGTCAGACCTAATAAATGCTGACTCTGTCTGGTCATCTTTTAAGGAAACAGTGTTCAATGCATCTAAAGAGGGGGCATCAGGAATGATTTGACAAAAATGATGCTGAGAAAGCAACTCTTGAGATCCATGCATGTTCTTCACACAGATAAATTATAAAAACTCATCTATTAAAAAAGATGGCTTATTCACATATAAAGTGTAATGTGCAAGCTAAGCTTCGCCACATGAAAGATTGAAGGTGGTTGGCTTCATTTTCCACCAGCTATCAGTGACAGACAAAAAAGACTCCAAACAGGTTTTTGATGAGCTGAAGACTGTATGACTTGCAATCTAATGGGCTACCCCTATCTGGAATATAAATGACTCACTGTCACTGACTGATCGTGGACAAATTCTGCAATGATGAGGCGAACTTTAATAAGGCTCTGAACTGCCCAGACACCACATTAGCATGAGCACTTGATGATCTTGAACAATTTGCAATTCTAGACCAATTCTCAGTTCCACGAAATATATCTGAAGTATGGAAAGCTGTCAAACAGCAACGGATCAAGTACAGATGGTTTTCCTGCAGAGATCTTCAAATGTGAGGGACACAGAATTGTAGGACTTGAAGACAGCTGATCAGTAAGCTCACTGGCCTCTGCTTAAAGTTTTGGGAAGAGGAGGCTATTTCACAGGAGCTGAAAGAGGCCAACATTATCCACTTTTACAAAAGGAAAGCAGTCATGCTTCTTGCGATAACCATCGTGCTGTCTCACTTCTTGCCACTGCAGGAAAGATACTCGCCTGAGTCATGCGAAACTAACTGATCAACTTGGAGAAGATTGGCGTTTAGGCATACGTGGCTTCCATCCTGGGCATGGTACTTCAGACATGATCTTTTCACTCCAGCAAATACAGGAGAAATGTTGTGAGTAGAATCAAGACCTATATGTAGTTTTTGTCAATCTTATTAAGACCTTTGACTCTGTAAATTGAGAAGGCTTGTGGACTCCACAAGTTCAGTTTTCCCCCTGTAAGTTTGTCAGCATTATTAAATCTTTTCATGCAGGAATTCAGGTTCGTGTCCTTGACCAATGCTGCATCTCATCTTCCTCTGTTGTCACCAAAAGAGTAAAACAAGGTTGTGTTCTTACCCTAATATTGTTTAGCATCATGTTTGCAGCTGTTCTAATAGATGCATTCAGAGACATTGATTGTGGTATTTATATGAAGTACCATATGGATGGAGGTATCTTAAATCTGCATTGCCTGTGTGAGAAGACAAAAGTTATGAAGATTACTATCACTGATGATTGTGCTTTAGTGGCCCATAACCTCAGGGACATTCAATTGCTCACTGATTGTGTGTGCAGCAAAATGTTTTGACTTAACAATCAGCCTAAAGAAGACAGAAGTGACAGTCCAGGCTCCACTGGTAAATACTGCAACTGCTCCTGTTGCCTATTGACTATGTACCACTCAAGGTTGTTGATAAATTTTGCTACCTACACAGTGTTGTTTTTTGAAATACAATGATGACAATACCATTACGAAATGTATTGGTGCAGCCACTGATGCCTTCAGAGAATTTTAGCGTTGTCTCTGGCATGAACACCGTGTTAGATGGCAAACTATAATTGATGTTTACCACTATGTATCATCACCACTACTCTCCTCTATGGCTGCAATATATGGACAACTTATCAATGCCACGTAAAACACTTGGACAAATTCCCTCTACGATTTCTACAGCAGATAACTGGAATTAAATGGCAAGATTTGACTCCAAACACAGAGATCTTTGAGTGTTGCAACATCAGACATTTAAGCTTTTATAGCGAGAGCACAACTGAGATGCTGTGGTCATATGGTCCGCATGTCTGACAGTAGAATACCAAAGGCTGTCTTTTACAGAGAATTGCAGACTGGAACGCATTTTAGAGGCAGACCAAGAAAATGTTACAAAAACACTGAAAGGGGCCAAACGCCAATCTTGCAGAGTTGACCTCAACATCTGGGAGCTTTTAGCACATGATCTGAATTGCTGCAAGCAAGGAGAAATGTGTGAGGCATAAAGCTAAAAGCAGTGCATGTTAATCTACAATTGCCTTCACCTGGAGCTGCAGATTCAGAATTGGTTTATGGTCTTGTTGTGGGGCCTGAAACAAGTGATTAGCTCATCCGTTGAGCTTGACTGGAGACTCCATCAGATTCTACTTTCTGGCCACTTGCAGTTTAAGTAGCACTTTTCCTTTCATTTTGCATATCTTTACTTTGTCCATAAATATCTAGTGCCAAATAACATGAAAGTTAAGGAAAGCGTCATCTTAAATCTGTAGAGTTAAGGTAAAAAAAAAACATCCTGAGTGAAATCTTGGCCCTATTGCAGTCAATGGAAGTTTTACCATTGATTTCAGTGGAGCCAGGATTTCATCCCTTGTGTGCTAATATGGCCCCATCACTGTAGCAGAAATAGAAGTAGAAATAGCTTCTAGTTTTAATTTGTGTATGGAATATTTGAGGGAAAGCCAAACTGAAAAAACAAGTTTTGCTTTCAGAGCTGAATTTGGCTAGTTCCATTGTCATTCTTATCTCTTGTGGGGTTGAGTTCTCTAATCTAGGTCCAGTGCTGGTGGGAGCTCTGTCTTTTGCACTTCTGAGCCTCCCTCTATTGGTCACATATCATAACTGCCCTGATGGAAAGTAGCTGTCACGGGAGAGCCTGATTGCAGAGGAAGAAGTAGTGTCTCAGGTTTCTAGGGCTAATCTCATGAAGAGGTCCAGGATAACACCTTGAATGGCACAGTATTAAATGAAAAATCTGTGTAGATAACTGAACTCCACAGTGATTGTGTTTGGGAACCTGTGTTACTGGGTAAACTGCTGCTGTATTTTGTATGAGTTAAAGCTTTGAGAGTATGCTGCTTCATCTCTATATAGGTTGTGGTAATCAAGGTTGGCGGTCACAAACTTATTTTCAGTAGCCATTTGCAGGGTGTGTATGTTCCAGCTCTGTATGCTAGTCCAGCTTTCTCAGGTGTTTGGAGAGGGGAAGAAATCCGAGTTACAGTTACCCCATCTCGCTTAGGCTGTTCTGACTCAGCACTCTTCATGTTCGCCCCATGGTCATTTCACTGCTTCTGGGTTTCGTTTCAGGCTTGGCAGTTTCCTTACCAGTCTTCCCATTGCACAGCTACTGCACAAGACCTTGTTTAGAGGAGAAACTGGACACTTCCCCTTAGTTATGGAGTAATAAGATAAAAATAAAAACATGAGGCCCTTTTCCTCCTCCTCTCTTAATCCAACCTGAAGATAGGCAAATTCTTTTAGAAACATTGAGATCTTGTTCCAGTTTCCCTGGGTCTCTATGGATAAGGATGCCTCTTCTCTCTGCAGCAAGGCCAGCAGAGAAAGGGTTAAACTGCATTGTTCTATTTGCATGCACTAAATACAGAAAAATTAACTTTTCTATGTTTTTTACATTTCAGGGAGAAACTCATCTTGTTTTTCCTAAGGAAGCCTCAATTGAACAACTACACAAAATCCGAGATCTGATTGCTGGAGAGAGAAATAGCAGATTAAGTGAATCAAGTCAAACCCAAAGATCAGGATCTTCTCAAACTGTAACCAGTATGCAGCCTATTGTACCTCAGTCTTCAACAGCTGTTGACTCAACCCCAATCCCTGTCAATAGGCAACTACAAACATCAACTGCACAATCTGCTGCAATGGTAAGCACCTTCTAAAACCCTCTTATAATACCTATCCTGTAAAAGGGATTGTATTTATAAGACTTGGAGAAACTTTCATGAGGGCAGAAGTAGAAATAACTAGAATACTGGGGACAGCTGAAAATTTGATTCCCTTGATAACTTTCTTGGGAACATCTTTTCCCATTACCTTAATGAGGTTGTGGAAGTTCTTTGTCTACATCCAGCCTTAAAGCTGAATGTGCTATGGGTCCAGCATAAACAAATGACACAAGAGAAAAGGTCTTTGAGTGTGCAATTTCCAGAACAGGATTCACTGAATGTATGTTTTTTAGATGGAAAACTTTTCCAAAGTAACAAAGGAATTTCCACAAATCAACAGTCCATCCAGCTCAATAATTTTTAGCCAAGAATGACCTATGCAGAATAGTTCAGAAGAAAAGTCAAATTTAAAAAAAATCCTGTTTGTGATAGGCAAGAGGTTCTCCGCTTTTTTAGAGTGTGGACCCATCTTTTTATCTTATGGGTCACTTTCCCTAGCATTTGCATTCATAACATTAGTTTGGTAATAAATACATAATTGTGTACAGCAATTACATCAAGAAGTAAATATTAAGACGGTATTATGTATTTTTAACTCGTTTGTATGTAATATACCAGCGGGAAATGAAGACCACCAACATCGTGTAATTAGCCAGCTCTCTACTGACCACCAGTTAATTCCACAAGTTGGTTAACTATATATTGTGGAAGTGTACCCTGTAGGGTATTTTTATGCTTTGCCCTGGGGTATTACATTGTCTAAGACTAACTCTTAAGAAGTTAACATTAGTGGAATCAGTATGGAGGACGCTTAGCTTTTCAGGTAATCTTGGTTTTTTTAACTTCAGTTCTTTAAAAATCCGTGTCCCCATTCTTTAAATTTCAGTTACACTTCCTGAATTAACTCAAGTCTGTTTCTAAGGATTGTGTTTAGAATAGCTTCTCCGCTTATATGCTTCAGAACAAACTGCCCAAAGAAATTTTTTCCAAACTGTGTTTATAAGTGATGTTTCAACCATTGTACGATATTGGGTTGGCTGGATGTTGCTGTTACTGTTGTGGATTTTATTGCCTCTTTAAACTGTCTTAAACTTCATCATTGCTGCTCTAATCTAGAGACTGATAGTTAAGGTTAAGATTTTGTCACAGGTATTTTTAGTAGAAGTCTCGGACAGGTCGGAGGCAATAAACAAAAATTCACTAAAGCCTGTGACCTGTCCCTGACTTTTTTACTAAAAATACCAGAGAGACACAGGGACTAACCGTCTGAGTCCCGTCGGCTGCTGCTCCAGTCCTGGGGACTGCGGTGGGGGCAGTAGTCACAGAGGTCCGTTAAAGTCACAGAATTCATGACCTCCATAACAAAATCATATCCTTACCTGATAGTATACCCCCACTCTTGTATTCATATTTTTAAGATCTTGCATATATAGCCATATACTGTTTTACTTCAGGATCTTTTTCAGGAAAACAACCTAACCATCCTTTCTTTGTATAGTTTTTGAAGCAAGGAATGTTAGTATCCCATTGATGGTTCTTATTCCACCATGTTTCAAAAGTGTCAGTTATGTAGAGGTCCTTTCCCCAATGCCAAACATTTTAGTTCATCCATTTTCACTTCTCATTGGTAAATGAACAGACTTATGTTTGTAAATATGTGCTTATTTTAATATATCTAGTTTAGCTAAAATTATTCCTAGTTTCCCTCCTTCCCTTTTCTCTGTTGCAACTGTTTGTTGCTAACTGATTCCCATGCTACTGAACATGTAACTTGACTTCTGCTTATTAAAATTTTATTCTGTTTTCCAATCTTCTCTAATAAATTTCTTCCCACCACCCTTTTTAACTTCATTGCCAGCAGTTTGGTTAAGATGGAAACCTTCCATAAAAGTTTTCAGTGCCTGAAACCAAAGCCCCTTTCTTTTCTATCTCATTTTTTCTTATTCATACATTGAGACTAATTCCCCCCTGAAGGCTTTTCTGGGATGTGATTCAAATGTTGAATATAGCCCATTTCACTTTCACAACAACCTACTCTTAAGTGATTTCCTTCAGACAAAGTGAATCCAACTTTTGCATGTGAGATTAAGAGGATGGACCATAATTGTCCAAATTGTCCTTACTCTCATTCTTGACATTCAAATGTTCAGGGAACTTCTACTGATTTACAAACCTCTTCATGAGCTAATTAAAAGCAACCCAGAAAAGATCATTTAAGGTCCTGGTTTTCAGAAGTGCTGAGCACCCACAAATCCATCTGAAGTAAATGGAAGCGGCAGGTGAATATCAGATCTTTAAGCTTTATCAGTCAGTGTATGCCTAAACGTCCATTCACATGGAAAGCAGTCAGTTTGACTATAGTTCGAAAAGGCACCAAGGATGCGCAAAACTCAGTGCTTCTGTAAAAAGGTCAATGATAGGATATCTCCATTATTTTAATTTATTTAGTTAACTATCTCCTAGAACTGGAAGGGACCTTGAAAGGTCATAGAGTCCAGCCCCCTGCCTTCACTATCTGGACCAAGTGCTGATTTTGCCCCAGATCCCTAAGTGGCCCCCTCAAGGATTGAACTCACAACCCTGGGTTTAGCAGGCCAATGCTCAAACCACTGAGCTATTCCGGCTTCTCCCCCCCCCCATAATAGTATAGCTCATTTCAGATTATTTGATTTTATAAATGTTAATTAAACCTTAGAATATGCCAGTACATAGAGTATTATACCTATTTACAAATAAAGAAACAGAAACCCAGTGGGGGTTAAGTAACTTACTTAAGTTCACCCAATGGTAGAACCAAACCCAAGAAGTCCTGACTTTAGCTCTTCTGCTCTACCTTATTTACAAAAAGGACCTAGATAATTTAAGTACCAAATGGCTTAATTCTCAAAAAGATGAGGTAATATACAAAGGACTATCTACTTACCTACCTTAGGGTTTTATACTGCCTCACATTGGTGTAGGATCTGAGCATCTTCCAGGTAAAATCATTAGCAAAGTCTCTAGTAGATTCATGGGTTTTCTTTCTCTTCACCCTTTATACAGTCAGAATTCTGTTTTGGGTAGGCTTTTTTTGGTGAAAGTGATGGGACGGAAGGAGTTGGCGGGGGTGTTCAACTTGCAAGTGTCACTTATGGTGCAAAAGCTTCCTCAGAGAGTGTTCTTATAACGTTGGGATGGGATACAAACCCATGCGTCCGGAGGAGGCTGCAACCTGAACGCAGCACCTTATATTACTTAGCTACCCTGATGACCTGTGGCAACGGGCATTCAGCTACCTATTGTTGGAGAGAGCAATGCTCAGCTGAAGTCAAGGCCTGCTCCCTCAGGAGATGGTCAGACACTAGATTGCCTGATCTCTGCAAGATTGTTTCATAGCCAAGTCCTTTCAGAGAATGCTTTGTCCCCAGCTCTCAGATGCTTCATCCGGATCTGGGACAATGTAGATCATAAAGAAGAGTGTAGCTATTGCAATGTTTCATAGATTGGCATTTAGTCTTTGATATAGCTGCGGCTTGATCTGTTGATTGTTTTGAAAATTAGGATCAAGGCCTTTAAACTAGCATCAAAAGCTGACTGGGAGCCAGTGGAACGATGTGAGCACAGGCCTGGGTGTACTCACAATGTCTTAATCCATGGAGAAGGTGGGCAAATGCATTCTGTACCAGCTGGAGTCTGTGCACAGCCTTCACGTTCAGATTCAGCTGCAGTGAATTACAGGAATCCTACATGAAGGTGACAAATAGATGGATTACTGTGGCTAGGTACTCATCAGGGAAGAAGGGATGATGTTTCCTAGCAAGCTGGGGGTGAAAGAAGGCATTTCTGGAAATTGTGATGTTACCTGATCATCCAGGCTTAACAAGGAGTCAAACAAGAGCCAAAGACTCATATGTCCATGGCCATGAAGAAATCATCTTTTAGTGCCATAAGAGCAGTTTATGCTGTGCCTTGGTCTGAACCTGATTGTGAGGCATTCAGGATGTTGGCACTTGGTAGTTACTACTTTCTTAATTATTTTGCTCAGGAACAGGAGGTTGGGACATGATGGTGGTTTGAGAGATCTTCAGGGTTGAGTGTTGGCTTCTTGAGGATTGTGTGAACTATTATATTTTTTCCAGGAGCTTGGTAGATGTTTCTCTGAAGGAGGCTTGACTATTTCCATAAGGAGGGATATGGATTCATTTCACAAATTGTGGCTCTAATATTTTTTAAGAATTCTTGAGCTTTGTCTTGAGTGATGGAGCCAAAGTCAAGGGAGGTGGGGTAGATAATATTCTCTGGTCAAAGTGGAATTTTTTCCCAGTTAGCTCCATACACATTTGATTGATTTTTTTTATCAGTGGAATACAGTGAGAGCTCTTCACAGTGGTCATTTCTGGGTCTGATGTCTGGGCTATGCCATATGGGCTGATTAGACAGTTCGCTGCAAAATAGTTCAGCTGGTTCTGGTTCTGTTGCATTCATTGCAGAAAAGTGGATGGCTTGTTTTGCCTCCTTTACTGCAGTAGCACAGTCCTGTGACTGTTGTTTGTGCTGCTTCCAGACAGGTTCAGAATGATTTTTGTGCCACTTGCTTTCTAGCTTTCTCCTTCTGCACTTCACCTGCCATAGTTCTTGGTGATCTTCAGGGTCGGTGTGGGGGAAAATGGATGGTTTGGAGCCAGGGTAGTGGACGACACGTGATTTGTTTTGGTGTACTCACTCATCAGCACCCTTGCCTTGTGTTTGGGTGGCTTGTTTTCCTAGGGTGAGTTGAAAACCTACAGACTTTAGGAATTTTCAGGGCTGGAATAGTTTTGGTTGCTCACTCCCCTAGTGGGAAAGCAGGATAGCTCTGGTCTCTGCCTAGATGAGGTGATGATCATACCAAAAGAGTGGTATGTTGATGTCTCCAGTACCAAATCCTAGGTTTAAGATAGGATCCAGCATATTTCCAATTGCATATATAGGTCCAGGGAATGCCTGTGAAAATCCAAGTG